TGGATGGATGGATGGATGGATGGATGGATGGAAATTGGAATTGGAAAATAGATGAATTTCTAGAAGAATGAATGACTGGTTGAAACAAAATGTAACAGTGTTCTTACCTTTTACTTCTTTCAGTTGGTATTCTTGATACTTATTTTTGGTCTCAAGCAAAGCAAGGGTGGCATCTCTGACAGCAGTTCTAAACACCTCTGACTAAATAGCATCAAATGCAACATGATGAGCTTTCATGTTTCTTACAAATGGATTGCGTTTCTTTGTATAAATGTTGTGTTTGTGATACCTGTGTCCAAGCTTTTCCCCTCAAAGTTGGGTTTCCTGTGTTAGCTGTATATTTTATCTATATTGTTTGGGTTACCTGTGTCCAAGCTTTTCCCCTCAAAGTTGGGTTTCCTGTGTTAGCTCTATATTTTATCTATATTGTTTGGGTTACCTGTGTCCAAGCTTTTCCCCTCAAGGTTGGGTTTCCTGTGTTAGCTCTACATTTCATCTATATTGTTTGGGTTACCTGTGTCCAATTTTTCTCTAAAGGTTGGGTTTCCCGTGTTAGCTCTATATTTTATCTATATTGTTTGGGTTACCTGTGTCCAATTTTTCTCTAAAGATTGGGTTTCCTGTGTTAGCTCTACATTTCATCTATATTGTTTGGGTTACCTGTGTCCAATTTTTCTCTAAAGATTGGGTTTCCTGTGTTAGCTCTANTGTGTTAGCTCTACATTTCATCTATATTGTTTGGGTTACCTGTGTCTGATTTTTCTCTAAAGGTTGGGTTTCCTGTGTTAGCTCTATATTTTATCTCTATTGTCTGGGTTTCCTGTGTTAGCTCTAGTGAGGGGGGGTGGGGGTCAGAAGAGGTCTACTCCTATGATGTGGATTTGGACCAATAATATTATTAAAAGAATAATTAGTGTGACCTAACAGGAACTTACATCACTGACGCACCAATCCCTGACCATAGAGAGAACAGGTATCATACGTAGCTGAAGAGTAAATGCCGATTCCCATTCTGGATCTGATTCAATGTGCTGCCCTACCTTTCTGGTTACCATATCCATGCCCTATGCACAAACAAATGAACATCAATTAACATATTATTCCCTTGAGAATAATTCTTTTTTTTTTGCTCATGCAAGAAAAGTTTTATCTAATATGGATGAAACCCCCAAAAAAGAAAACTATTCCCAAGTGAGCATCTTCCAATGGAACATGTGCAATAGAAATATTAAGAAATATTAAGTTTACTACTGGAGAACTGCCAAAAGTAAGAGGGTTCTTACACTATGCCTCTAAAGAAAAATGCTTGAGAATAATAAGAGGCAGCATAAATCTTGATTATACCTGCATATTCTTTAGAAGAGTAAAAAACAATTCTAGGAAATTAAAAAACTTCTGACGAAGATCATCAGTCCAGGCGATAGGTCTGTGCTGAAGGACGTATCTAGAAACACACATAAGAAAAAGTAGTCAAAATAGAGAAAGTGGGAATAAAATGAAAAGAAATTGTTAGTGAATAAAAGGAATGAAGGAATTTTACTCACTTGAGGTCCAGTAAGACATACTGCGCACGGCCTAATGGTTGAAATGGTCCATGGAACTCATAAGTGCCACTGTTGCCTTTGAATTTTTTGGGRAAAAAATAAAATTATGAACTTTATGAGCTCATTTAATGATCACCTTGGAATATCAGAAAATTGGGTCATAACTAGAGTTGGTCATAGTTTATTTGGTTGTATACAAAGTTTCGGTAGTTTATAAATACCATTTCTTTTGGATTCTAGTTCTTCCATGAATGTCTTGAGGATGACAATCAAGATATCATGTTCAAGTACAAGCATCCTCGCCTGAAATAGAATAGAAGGGAAATGAAAAAAGGATGAATGGGAAATGATACTGAAATGAGCCTGCGCTTATTTATTAAGTCTTTCATCCATTGCTAAATGTGGTCATTTTACTCAGTCATTTATTTATTTATACATTTATTAAACTGCCATCCCTCTGTGTATCTTATTTATCTTCTCATCCATCCATCCATCCATCCATCCATTCATTCTTTTATCCATCCATTCATTCTTTCATCAATCCATTCTTTCTTTCTTTCATCCATCCATTCAAAATGTTAAGCTACTTACCAGTGTTGGTACAGTGAATATTTGAACTGAAAACGATGTGGCCTAAAAACAAACAAAGTCTTAGAAAATCAAAACAATATGACACTGAGTTGAAACAAATTATCAATAAAATTAGATTTTTTAAGATGAGTTCAATAGATATACTTACAGATACAGAATGCTCATGGTCATCTGCTACAAATTCAGTCATTAATTTCTTATAATTCTGAAAAAGATCAAAATATTTTGAAGCAACTGAAAATGTGAATATATCAAAGAAAACAGCCATTGCCATGCATCGATTGAGACAATAGTCATTACAGGGACTATACTAAAAAAAAGCACTTGTGCCAAGCTATAAGATTTGAGACATTAATAAAGTTTATTATTATTATTATTAATATAGACTACCATCAATCAAATAAACTGTTAGAGTATGTAAGTTCCAACCTTTTTTTGACCTAATGGCAGAGCTTTCAATATTTTTTGGAGTAAGTGGTTATTCTCAAATATTAAGGGGCAATAAATGGAATTTTAGACCCCTTTTTTATTAATTATGTGTACTATTAAGTCGAAAATAGCCAGCAGTTTAGGCAGAAGTATCCGGCGATAAATYGCCGGTTGCCGCCTTCTATTGAAAGCTCTGCTAATGGTTGATTTGATTGATGGCAGTCTATTGTCTGGTTTCCCTGTTGMGAGTGTTGTCTCGATCAGCTGATAACAATCAAAACAGTTGTTATTGATACCTTAGTGAAGTGTATTGCAAACAATTTCTTTCCTTCAGAATCCAACAGCATTCTTGAATAAAAGAAAAACAAGTTGAGGCTTAACAAGTTAAAAGCTAAATTTGCACTTTTTTATTTTGACATAAATTTATGTCCAGCAATATGCCTGAAGTGAGATGACGTTTTACCCCCGACTCTATACCATAATAGTTTTTAAAATTCTTTCATATTAAAATTTTTGATTCCTTAGAGAATACTGGAACAATAGTCATAATTAAAGAACAAAAGCAATGTGAAAAGGATTATGGTCTAGATACGGGGGTAAAACATCATCTTGCATCAGACTTATCACAAATATTTCTCATGGTGAAGCAATTTGGGATGGACATAAATTTATTTCGCTCAATAAAATTTAAAAGCATCTCAAAAATACATATTGGGAAATAGCCATGATGAAATTTGGTTCATGAAATCCAACCAAATTGTCCAAAAACATTTTCATCATAATGAAATGAGAGATAAGAGCAAATATATTTTTTAACTCGTTACTTGTAAAGGCTGTCTTGTGAAAAAGGTTTTTTCATTGTAACAAAGTAAAGAGAGACTTACGAATTCATAAAGACTTTGTGAGTGTTTGTTCTTGCAGCTAAAAAGAAGTAAATACTAATATAAGTAATCCACAAAAAATAGAAAAGAGTTTTTCTTTCAAAAACTATTGACTAAAAGCTTAACAAGAATCATGGACCTTTCATGGAATAAATGATTTTTTGCCACATAGCCTCACAATCAAGTGCTACACGATCAGAATAAGGTGACACAAGGTTTAACAGGTTCTTATCCTCATTGGAATAAACAAGTTGCCGTGTGATCAACGTCCACTTAATCCTCACTTGGGGAGGGGTGGGGATGACAAAAAGAACGCCAAACAAACAAAAAGAATGCGTTTATTGATAGAATGAAAAGTACGTTTTTACTAGAGCTTGATTTTAAAGTGAAATGTTTTTGTCAACATTTCTTACTTTTCCATAGTTTTGCATCTTCTTGGAATACTTTGTCCAGCAAGCATTCTTGATTAGATTGTGTCTCCACAACAATTTCACACAGTAATCGTCTTAGACCATCTGAAAAAAAATTGGTAGACACAAAAAATTTGAGAAATCCATTTTGGGTTCCCTGTGGTAACAATCAACAGGAAGCCCAAAGCATACTGTATTCTATACCTGAATGTGAGGTGATTTTGTTAATCCATCCCAAGAGGCGCAACACAAATAACTGGTGTGCAACAACTTTGTGATGCATTACTCTGCATTTAAGAGGAGAACGACCAGGACTAGAAGTTCCTCTCTGTGAAAAAAAAATTTATAGAGCAATCTATTAGGGCCAACCTTTAATCTAATACAATTTAAAGATATACATGTTTTTTCCTGCCTCTTAGACTGTGAGCGGTCCCACTTTTCCTCCAGACTCATTTAAAGACTGAGGTTCCATTTGGCTAATTCAGATCTCCACGCACGTCCACAGGAATCCCACAACACTCATCTTTACTGAGTCTGGAAGGAAAATTGGGACCCCTCCCAGTTTACCTGCCGCTACTGTATATTGATATATTTCTCTATTGTATCCTTTTACTGTCTCTCTACTTTGATCTGCTTTAACTAGTTTTTACCTCTATTACATTTCTTGAGGTTTCACATATTTCTTTTTGGCCAACTCTAACTGGTGAACGGCCCTTGAAATAAAATTGAAAATATATTGTAAATTGAGTATCAGTAGCATCGTACAATTTCCATAACACAACCAATAATTCAGCACAAGACATCTGGGTTTTTTGCCCCAAATCAAATTTCCAACTTTTGACATTACATTTTTTCTCAATAAAAGCTTAAAACCCAGACATCTTTGGCTGACTTGTTCACCTAATTATAAATATTATTATGAGAATAGGTGTAAAGTGACAAGCATAGAAAGACAATACAAAGGCGATGTGGTATACAGTACCTCTCTATCCACTACGTTGGCATATGCTAAAGCCATCTCTCGGTCACATTGCGGTATGGCATCTGTCAGTGTTAAGATGACCTAGAGGAAAAAAATATAACAAAGAATGTGTAGTTCCAGCAGAATATCCATACCCCCACCATGGAGGGAATTTGTAAAAGGACCCCTCTACCCCAGTGAAACTCCAATTTTCTTTCTCTGCCCCCCTCCCCTCCAGAATTTCTAATTCCCTCCGTGATTGGGGTACAGATGTTTTATGGAACTACGTAACACACCTTATGCATTCATTACAGTATTTAAAAACTACATGTAGCATATTCAAATTTTAGTTACCTCTTCATATGTGTGTACTTCATCATTAAATAACATGGTGACAAATGTATCTTCATGGCACCTGCATTTAATAATAAGTTAATAAATATAATAGGACGTTTGCACAATGGTGTCATTGACCTCTACTACCAGACTCCCTTGCACGCTTTCTTTTGTTCAGTTAATTAGCACCAATTGTCTTACTATTCTTACTAGGGAATACAAATTTWAAAAAAAAGAAAATTCGCAAAGCACCTTGGTAGTGGGAGTCAAATGACGCCATCATGCAACCGTCCTATCATAACAGATAACAAAACTTTTGTTGGGTTCCCTGTGATACCAGTAACCCAGGAAGCCCAAATAATAAACCAATTTCTACTTTAAAATTAGTCAAAAATGCCAATCAATCAACACATTTTATAATTGTATTCTTACTTTATGTCATGCAGAGTGCTGGGTAGAGATTTATTCTGGTCCCAACAAACCATTTGTACGCAATGCTCTAATGCTGTCTTGTACAAGAGTTTTGCTCTGTTCACCATGTCTGGAGATAATTTGTCAACAGGATTCTGTAATAAAAGATGATTTAAGAGAAAAATTTAATGCTAACCTGTTTTAGGGAGTGTGAACTCTGGTTGCTCGTTTCATGTTTTCTTGAGAAAAAAGTGTCTACAGGATAGCATTATTGCATGTATGTTTCAACTTAAATCACAACATTTATTCCAAGAAGATATAACTAGTTAAAAACTAGTGTGAGCTGCGTCGGCGTTTCTAATGAAACAGTAATGATGAAAAGGTAAATTATACACCGTCAACGAAGGACTAGCGTCCGAAACGTCWGTAAGTTTTTTCATCTTTTTCACTGTGTATAATTTACCTTTTCATCATTAACATTTATTCCAGGTT